GTGGTTGTGTTGCTTGATTAAAAAGCTGTGAAGCTTAATCAAGTGTATGTTTTTGAAGAGTGTCTTCATCAATTCATTAGTCAAATTGTTTTATGTATCACTACTGTGATTGAGGGGGAGTGAGTAGGAACTCAGGTTTAAGTTGTACTTAGATTGAAATTGCATTGGGTATGTCTTAAGTGAAGGAGATAAACTGGTTGGTTTATTCCTGAATTAACATCTCTTATAGTGGATTTCCTCCCTGGCTTGGTAGCCCCCAGAGTAGGTGTTGTTGCACACTGAACTGGGTAAACAATTGACTGTGTTCTTTACTGTTTTTGTATTTACTGTCTTATAGAAAGTCAGATACGGTGTCATAACATTAAACGTGACATTGAGTATCTGCAGCCAGAATTTCATCATGGATCTTCACCCAGAATTCATGAATCTTCATCCAAAATTCATGAACTTCATCAGAAAATTCATGGATCTTCATCCAAAATTCATGAACTTCATCGGAAAATTCATTCGTTCATCTAAAATCCTAAGATAAATTAACATGTTTAAAGAGAATCACTTACTTGGAGAAGAATGAACGCTAGAAAATCCTACGATGGCGGTGGCAGTAGTAGAGCAGCTTGCGAACAGAGGAGAAACAAGAGGAGAGCAAAGTTGAAAATGCTTAAGTGAATTTTGTCACCTCCTTTTATAGCTAGTCCCCACCATACGGGTAGCGTTCAAGGAATCATCATTTCTTAGACCCCTAGGATGCCCTAGACAATGATAACGTTCTAAATAGCTACCACGTGTGGCACACAGAGCAACACGCTGTTTTGGCTTCGAAAAATCCCATGTGTGAGATCACGCGCTGACATCATTTCAAGTCTTCATTGGTGAGCACATGCTCGACATCATTGTGGCCCCTTTTTATGGGCACCACGAGAATACAAGCCCGGGGAGAAAACTCTGTATTTCCTCGCGTGTGCAAATCCCGAACGAGCACCCGCTTCAAGACGGGCAGTTAACAAATCGGTCGAGGAAGGTCCTTCCGAACACACACCCACACCACATACAGAGATTCGACGGGAAGCGTGATAAAGTGCCGACCATATCGTTCCCGACCGAAATACGATGATTATTTATGCTGGTTCCGCCCTGAGCGTCGAGGGCAGAAGTTCATTCCTTTGTTGGCCAGTTTTTCCCCGACAGTTAAACTGATCCTAAGTCATCGCTCTTTCGTCCAAAAGAAATAACTTTGGGGGCTCCTGTTCTGGATTTGGAAAACACTTGGCCCACCGTTGGGGAAGCCCAACCCAATGCCTATGCTAAGGCTCAAAGGCGTCCAGCCCAAATCAATAGTCGTTGGGGATTTCCCCACGTGTCCACTAGAGAAACCTGGCTAACAGTTATCTGTAACCACCACCATCATGTCCACCGAGAATAACAGGTCTAATTTCACTATTATCTCGGAATAATTGACCAGGGAGGAAGCCACGTGCTGGACTCCACTTCTTACGTAACCTTGGCAGTCTTCGTTATTGGGCCTAATTATTGGCTCAATATGTGGATCTTAGCTCAACGTTGAGAGTTATAAATATCCTCTCACATGAGAGGGTCAACTATTTATTCATTCACTCTCACTTCTAGTGCTTGCACTCTGATTGTCTCTAGTCTTACTTTGACATCAGAATACCTTGCAGGTACATCCCCCACTCACTTCAAACCGTCGTTCAACTCAAACTTATGGATTATTGACAATCTCTTCTGATCAGGTACGATTATATATATATATATATATATATATATATATATATATATATATATATATATATATATATATATATATATATATATATATATATATATATATATATATATATATATATATATATATATATATATATATATGGGTTATGCTAACACACATTCATGTAGGTGTGTTAGCAACAAACACCTTTGTGTATTTTAAAGTAGGCTCCATCAGTTTGAGTATTCTTTATTTTTTTTCTTCAGATTTTTATAATTCAAGATCCCCTTTAATTTACTGTAGCAAAAAATAAAAAAATAAATATGTGTGGTGATTTAAAACTATTGTTTTGTACAGAAAATTAATGGGGTTTTTAAACCTCCCTTAAATTACAAAAATTTGAAGAAAAAATTGCCTAAATTGATGGGATCCATTTTAAAATACACAAAAATGTTTATTATATAATTCAAATAAAATAATTCCACAACGATATTATATTTTATTTAATTTCTTATCATATTTTGAAAATTTACCTAAATTTGATAGATCCTAGAGACCGTAAAGAGTCCGTTTTGAAAAACTATCTATAGTCATGATTAACATTTATAATAATATAACTATAGTCATAAGATCAAGCATGAACATATAATCTGTATATTAATTTGTTTTTCTTTTTGATAAAGTAGAAAAAGAGAATGACCCTTTAGAAAACTAAAAAGCATTATCAAAAACATGTTCTTAAGGAGACATTCCCACCTCAACCCAAAATACTTTTCCTATGCTTTTTGTGACAAATATAGGTCCCATAGAAGGTGTATAGAAAGAGATAGCCACAACAAATACCTCTCAACTAGTCCCATTCATTTCCCAAACCCATAATCCAAACACACTTCAAAACAAAAAGCAAACCAACAAAACCTCCAAACAAAAATAATCCATCTGTCGCATAGTAAATCATCTATTTAAAATTTTCATGTAGATTAAAACAAAACAATAATTATAAAATAAAATAAAAGAGAGAGTAACAATTTTTTTTTAGTACAATGATATTTTTATTAAATTACTCTTATAAAAAAAATACTAGACACTAATAAAAAATGTAACAAAATTAATTTGTAAGTGATTCAACTAACATTTATTAAATGATACAATTAGATAAAAGAAATCATATTGTGTTAAATATAAAAATTTATTTATTTTATAGAAAATAACCATTTTGATAGTATACGAAATACTAACAGTCTACCACTATAGTTCTAAAATATATCAAAATTATAAATATTCACATGCGTCTTTTTCATTAAAAAAATTGGCTTGATGAAAATTTTGATTTCTTTATTTTAACTAATTCACCTAATTAGTTTTTCTTTTTTATATTTTAAATTCAAACTATTTTATTCCTCTAAAATTCATGTTTTTAAAGTTGATAATATATTCATTATGTTACTTGAAAATGCGACAAATTATTATATATAAATTTTTGAGAAACTTGATAGGTCAACCTGACACATTATTAAAAAAATAATTATATCATTACATTTGGATAAAATAAAATAAAATAAAACTATTTAAAATTAAAATAAGAGAATTAATTTTATAAATGAAATGAATAAACGATTAAAACTGTAATTAAATTTAAAAATTTTATAGATTAAATTGACCAATAAAAAGTATTAATTCAATAACAAATTTTATTAACTAAAAACATGCAAGTAGATCAAAATAATTAACAAAAAAATACATAAAAAATTATAATAAAAACATTTCACTATTAAAACTTTATAGTAAAATGGCCATATCCCAACATTTTATTGTGAGACTAATCAACCGTGGTTAGATTTGATAAATAGTTAAAATATACTGACGTCGATCACAATTACCAATTATTTATAAATAATTTAATATTAATTATGAAATAGATATATCTTATAAATATATTTTATTAGAGGAGACATAATCTTCAAGATTGTCAAAATGTACTTTAAAGATTTTTCTTATTTCTATTAGATAAAATTATACCACCTTTAATCTTATTTATTAGAAAAAAATTCATCTTTTAAATATATTGAATAATTAATGAACATAAACTATATTTGTCTAAATACATTAATTATTTAATATATCTAAAAAATAATCATCTTCTTATAAATAAGAATAGAAGAAATAGTAAACATAAAATTTTAAATCCTTAAAAATTGTGAAGCAACTCACATAATTCTAACCTAAATTTTAAATCCTTGAAATTTTTGAAAGAATTCACGTAATTCTAACCTAAAACTTTACGGCTACTATCAACTCCGACTTAAGTGTTTGTAAATATCCTAAATACACTTGTTATTATCAAAGAAGAATAAATAATTATTTTAAAATACATCACCAAATTCTCATTCATGACAATAGAATACATAAAAGTTTAAAACCTTACCATTAATATGACACCGACTTAAGTGTTTTCAAGTACATTCATCGTTATCAAATAAGAGCAACTAACTATTTCAAAATTCATCACCAAATTCTTATTGTCCAACAACACATAAGAAATGTCCATTTGAGATCATTAACTAAAAGCATGAGAATCAAAATAATCAACAAAAATAATGTTTAAATATAATTTTAGAAATTCCTCTCTGCTTTGATCTATTTGTCGGATTATACATGATACCATTTTCAAAGGAAATCACAAAGGAGTATCCAAGATTGTGGTTTTAGCAACAAAAAAAACACTTTTCATGGGATTGGTTTAGATCTAGAGTTATGGGGTGTTTAGATTATAAATTGAGGATTAATTGTTGAACTCTATAGATTGCTTCTCCTAAGCTCCTTTTGTGTTGATTTCTTCTTGGACTTGTTTGTCATGTTTGCCCCCATTTTATATTAGTGAAATATCCTTTATACTCATTTTAATACCATTGCTTGCTTATAAAAAATAATTAAAAAAGAGACTATTTACCACCCTTATTTCTTTTATAAAAAAGCAAAAACCTTTGCCATCCTCTCTATGCCTTGGAGACTGCAAGTTCAAATTTGTTAGGTTCTCTCAAAACCCAAAAAATATTTCCTATATTCTACATACTCACAAGTTCACAACACCACCCCACTACCTCAAAAATCCAAATAAACCACATGCTCTCTTTCTCATTTCCCTATATCTACTACTACTACTACATATCTTTTCATCATCACAACCAACATCTCTCATAACTGAAACACCAAAAAACTCTCTCCACTAACACATAAAAAGCAAACCTTTTACAAACCTCACAGCCTCAAAAAGATGATAACTCTAATAGATTTCTACCATGTCATGACAGCAATGGTGCCACTCTATGTTGCTATGATCTTAGCTTATGGATCAGTGAAATGGTGGAAGATATTCTCACCTGATCAATGTTCAGGAATCAACCGTTTTGTAGCACTTTTCGCTGTTCCACTTCTCTCCTTCCATTTCATAGCCTCAAACAATCCTTACAAAATGAACCTAAGATTCTTAGCAGCAGACACACTTCAAAAAATCATGATCCTCACCCTTCTCTTCATTTGGAGCAATTTCTCCAAAAGGGGTTCTCTAGAATGGACCATAACACTCTTCTCCCTCTCAACTCTCCCAAACACTTTGGTCATGGGAATCCCTTTACTCAAAGGAATGTATGGTGAATTCTCAGGTAGTTTAATGGTACAAATCGTTGTTCTTCAATGTATAATCTGGTATACTATGATGCTTTTCATGTTTGAGTTTCGAGGAGCAAGGTTGTTGATATCTGAACAGTTTCCAGACACTGCCGGTTCCATTGTTTCAATCCATGTTGATTCTGATGTCATGTCATTAGACGGTAGAACACCATTGGAAACCGATGCTGAAATCAAAGAAGATGGTAAACTTCATATCACTGTTAGAAAATCAAATGCTTCAAGATCAGATATCTACTCAAGAAGATCACAAGGTCTTTCTTCCAACACTCCTAGGCCTAGTAACCTTACCAATGCTGAGATTTACTCCCTCCAATCCTCACGAAACCCTACGCCTAGAGGCTCTAGTTTTAATCATACTGATTTTTACTCTATGATGGGTGCTGGAAGAAACTCTAACTTTGGTCCTTCTGATCTTAATAACTACGCTTTATCCGCTTCCAGAGGCGTTACTCCGAGGCCTTCTAACTACGAAGAAGATGCTTCCAATGCCAAGAAGTTGAAGCATTATCCTGCTCCTAATCCGGGGATGTTTTCGCCTACCAATAAAAATCTTGGTTCCAATGTTAATGTCAAGAGAAGTAATGGTCAGAATCAGAATCAGAATCAGAATCAGCAGAAACAAGATGATCTTCATATGTTTGTTTGGAGTTCTAGTGCTTCACCGGTTTCTGATGTCTTTGGTGGACATGAATTTGGTTCTCATGATCAGAAAGAAGTTAAATTGAACGTGTCTCCAGGAAAAGGTTAGTTTTTTTTTTAACTTCTGTTTGGGTGAATAGCTTATTTTAAGTGCTTATAGTATAAGCACTTATGAAGTACTAAGAGTTTAAGTATACCTTGTTTTTGTAGCAGTTTATTTTGATAGGACATGTTTGAATGAATAGTTTAAGCATGTAAACCATAATTGATTATTATATAAGTGCTTATGTAAATAAGCTGTTTCTATAATAAGAGATACAATTATTTTAGTGTCAATTATAAGGTGTTTTGCTTAACTATAAGTGTTTAACAGTATCACAAATATACAAATATTTATGTTAATAGATAAGTTTAAATAAGGTAATTTAATCACATTTTAAGTGTTGTTTTTTTTTTAAATTCTTTATGTATGATTAATCAGTGGAGGGTCATAGAGAAACTCAAGAGGACTATTTGGAGAAAGATGAATTCAGCTTTGGAAATAGAGGAATGGAAAGGGAAATGAATAATCAACAACATGATGAAGGTGAAAAAATTGGAGATGGAAAATCAAAAGTTATGCCACCAGCTAGTGTTATGACAAGGCTTATATTGATTATGGTTTGGAGAAAACTTATCAGAAATCCAAACACTTACTCAAGCTTAATCGGTCTCGTTTGGTCTCTAGTTTCATTCAGGTATCCAAATACTCCAATCTCGATTAAATATTTGTTTTTGTTTTCATTTGATTGATTATGGGTATGGTTTGATTGCAGATGGAATATTGAAATGCCTGCTATAATAGCAAAATCTATATCTATATTGTCTGATGCAGGACTTGGCATGGCAATGTTTAGTCTCGGTCAGTTATTTTTATCCGATATATTATTTATTCAATAAATTTAAAAAAAAAATTATAAAAAATAATGCAGTTTTAGCGAAATACATTCTTTATTCAATAATTTTATATTTCATAAATTTAAAATAAATAAAAACAAGACTCTCTGTCTCAAAATAATAATGTAACAATTTTAAACTAGTATTATTTAAAGTCGGCGAAGAACTATAGTGTGAAAAATATCTTAAATGATTCTATGTTTATGTTGATAAGTATTGTTATGATTATTAATAAGTGCTTTTGATTAAAGTTAGTAGTGGAAGTGATGATGATAGTAATTGAATATAGGCATGGTTTGGTTCTACTTTTTGACAGGTTTATTCATGGCATTGCAACCAAAAATCATAGCATGTGGAAATTCCATAGCAGCTTTTGCTATGGCTGTGAGATTCCTTACAGGTCCAGCTGTGATGGCAGCTGCTTCATTTGCTGTTGGACTCAAAGGTGTTCTTTTTCATGTTGCAATTGTTCAGGTTAATTCTTTTTTCTTTTTCTCTCTCTACTGTTCTTTTGTTCCCTTTTTACATAACCAATACAATTTTCAATTTTTGCATACCCTTCAAAAAATTCCTCTACTTTTTTTATATTATTCACTTTTAACATAATCTGTCAAGATAAGTTACTTTATTGGTGTTTGAATACATAAAAAAAAAAAAAAAGTTTTTTCATTGGTTGGAATTTAATGGTTAATTAAAATATGCACTATCGTATCTTTGCAAATATTAACCATTTTTGGCTATATATGAAGAAAAAAAAAACCATAATTTATATTAAAAAAACAAAAAAAATATAATAATTAGATGTTAAATTTAAAAATATTTTACATTATTAGTTAATCATGATTGTAAATTTTTTACAAATATTGTTAGTTTATTTACAAATATTTGTGATATACTGATAATATAAATTTTTATGTTGATGGAGGCAAAAATAATTCTAGAGATATATAATTGATTTTTTTTACTTTTAATATATTTAAAAAAAATTATTTTATTTATTAAAATTGATTTAATTTGAAAATTAAAAAAAAATTGCTTTTGATTTTAGAATTGATTTTTACATTCAAATTTACAATTTAACTCATTTCTTATATGAAAGTATCTAAATATAAATTTCTTTATCATCAATTCGTTTTTAATTAAAATTAATTTTGTATAACTAATTTCTTTAAATCAACTTTTGTCATTGCAGAATCAAATAAACAGAGCGAAATGTTTTGATGTCGATATTATTTGTTGATAATAATTAATAACTAAATTCTTATAAAAACATGTTGATAATAATTTGAAGGATATATAAAAATTTGTTGTGTTTGTGAATGTATTTGTACTAAAAAAACAATTGGAACCACATTTGACATGTTTGTTTGTCTGTCCTATTTGGAATCAAATTACCAAAAAACAACAGGCAGCTCTTCCCCAAGGAATTGTTCCATTTGTCTTTGCTAAAGAATATAATGTACATCCTGATATTCTAAGCACAGGGTGAGTGTTCAATAATTCAGAATTTTCTTTTCCTACCCTTCAATTTACATTCTCTTTTAATGCTAACCAATGAAATTCTTTTGGTGAAAATGCAGTGTCATTTTTGGAATGTTGATTGCATTGCCCATTACTCTAGTGTACTACATTTTAATGGGACTATGAATGAATGAAGAAATGAAATGATGGATATGGTTTTAAGAGATTCACGTGTGGTGATGGCATATTCCATGTAAAGACTTGGTTGAGGCTTGTTTGTTGAGCTTCACATACACAAGAAAAAGGGGGGAAAAAGGAATGGAAAAGCTTCTTGAGAATTGAATTAGAGAAAGGAATTCAAGAATTTATTTTACTTTTTCTATATTTGTATTTGTTTCCTTTTTTAATGAATTGTTCTTTCTTAGTAAAAAATGTATAATCTTGATTTTAGCTAGCTAATTTACAAAATTATTATGTTAAAGGCTTCTCTGTTAAATATTTTAACTCTAATTGTACTAATACCAACTGTTGTGAAATACGATGGCAGAATAATAAAGTATAATCAATTTTATGATTAGCAAGAAATCCATAAAGATAGGAAAGAGGAAAGTAACAAGAACACAATGAAATTGATTATAAACTGGTATTTTTTACTTTCTCTTTGAAACAAGATTACAAGTGTTATAGAATAACAAATAACCTCTCACCCTAATTAGGATTTGCATTGTACAATGATGAGAGACTAGTATGCTATTTATAAGAAAACTAATATATTAAACAATGAGTTTTTACACACATGTCCATTACACAAACTAACTTAGTGAACAAGCTAACTTAAATAATTTGGACTTTACAAGCGGATCCAATTCAACATGCTAACAATCCTAACATTTCAACTACTACATACTTGAGCATACTTCGACTACAACATTGCAGGGTTTGGACTACATCATGTGAACAAACTTCGACAACATGCTTAGTGTAATACAGTGGGAGAACTGACTTGGTTGTTTTGCGTTTGATCGCAATTGTTGCGGATAGCAAGAGTCGTCACCGACTTTTCTTTTATCCAATAAGAAAATAGTGAAAAGAACATGAAAGACCTTTGAGATATTTTCTTGAGTTCGGGAGGGTAGATTATGAAAAGGGAAGGTGTTAGCACCCTTTTCATCCATAGTTATCTATGGACTCTTAGTTGCTTGCTAGATCACTTGAAAATGCTTTGTTTGAAAATGTGTTTGTGGTGGGTTTTGAAAGTATTTTTGAAAAGTGCATTCGTTTAGGCAAACTTTGTAATGGTTCTCGTCTCTATAAGAATTCATACAAAGTGTTGGACTTTTTAAAAATATTTCATGTTTTAAAAGTGTTTGGTGTGTTTGAAAAGATGTTTGTTTTTGAAGATGGATCGTGAACAAGCAACTAAGAACGTTCTACCTACTCAAAAGTCTCTTGTTCATTTCTTCCTTTGATATTGATATCTTACCATTGATTGGTAAGAAGCCTTATCTTTTGATGTAAAGGGACGAGCGTGAGTCATCGTATAGTCATGAATAGAAATGTTGTGAGATATCTTAGCATTTATCTTGGGGGACTAAGATCATTCGTAAGGCAACATTCGAAGCGTCATTGAGGGACTATGATCTTGTATTTTTGATTATTTTTGCTAAGATGTCTCACATGCATATTATGACCATTTTTTCAAGGCAACAAGTGGAGTTAACCCTAGAGGTGTAAGTGTGCAAAGTGTTTGTATTTCATGCTTGATTTTGTCTTGAATTAGGGTTTTCTAAGATTGATTTTATCTTTCCATACAAACTCTAAGTTACTAGCATTTTATATGAAAGCGATAAATTGCGGAAAGTAAATTTACTATGCTATTACATCATTTGGGGATGGGGTGTACAAATTTACAAATGGAGATTTGCAAGAAATTAAATCCTAATTATCTATTACAACCATATTGAATTTGAATAATATACAAGAATTGGAAGAAATATAATGTACAAGACATGAATGAAAAGAAAATGAATTTGTTTTGATTTTGTTAAAGGAAGGTTTTAGTCTATTTAACTAAAAGGAAATTTAATTAAACTAAAGAAAAATTAAGATTAATTAAAGAAAATAAAATAAAAATAAAAATATTTTTGGTTTTTTCATTATAAGAAGTTAAATAAAATAAACTAAATAATTTAAATATATTTTTGGTTTTTTTGTGTAGAAAACTGTTTTTGTGTTTAAATCAGTTTTTGTGTAGAAAACAGTTTTGTGTTTGGGCCCATGGCCTATTTGTTAGTTAGTAAATAGGGGGTCGGAAACATTAAAATGTCGAAGTCCAACTTCCTGCAAACAAGACAAAGTGAGAAAATATGAAAAATGAACAAAAGGTCTCGTTGGGTCTTGAACCCAAGACCTTCTACATGGCAAGGCTTTTAGCGCGCGCTGTTTGTACCACTGGGGTGCTCCGTTTCATCCGTTGGTTATACAACTTGCACTAAATATAAAATGAACTCATTCTGAATGTTTAAACATGGCTTCATCTTCTTAATTAAATAACTAATTAAATATTGGGCATTGCAACTCTCCCCCACTTGGAATATTTTCGTCCTCGAAAATTTACCTTGTTCGAACAACTCAGGATAGGAGTCTCATATCTTGCTTTCCAACTCTCACGTCATGCTTTCTCCGGAAACTCCTAACCAGAATACTTTCACCAAAGCAATCTCCTTGCCTCTTAGAGTCTTCATTTCACAATCTGCGATTCGTACAAACATAGTCTCTATAGTAAGATTATCCCGTACTTGCACATCATCCATACGAATCTCATGAGATAGATCTGAAATATAATTCCAGAGTTGTGACACATGGAACACATAGTGAAAATTCGAAAGATTAGGCGATAAAGTCACTCTATATGCAACCTTGCCAACTCTGTCTGAAATCTGATACGGACCAATAAAATGAGGAGTGAGCTTCTTAGACTTCAATGCACGCCCAACACCAGTCACAAGTGTAACTCTCAAAAACACATGGTCACCTACTTGAAATTCTAAATCTTTTCATCGCATGTCATGATAACTCTTCTATCTACTTTGGGAAGCTTTCATCTTTTCTCGAATTAACTTCACCTTCTCGGTAGTTTCTCGAACAAGTTCAGGTCCAAGTATTACGCTTTCCCCAAATTCATGCCAACATAAAGGAGTTCTACATCTTCGACCATACAAAGCTTCAAAAGGTGTAATTCCAATACTAGAATGGTAATTGTTATTATAAGTGAAATCTATTAACGAAAGATAAGTATCCCACGAACCTCCCTGCTCAAGAACACATGCTCTTAATAAATCTTCCAACGACTGAATAGTCCTCTCCGTATGACCATCCTTCTGAGGGTGATACGCCAAACTCCACTTCAATTTAGAACCCAACGCCTCTTTCAAACTCTTTCAAAAATATGAAGTAAACCTCAGATCTCTATCCGAAACATTACACAAAGGAATATCATGCAGTTTCACAATTACACTAGTGTAAATCTCCGCCAACTTTGATACTGGAAAACCGATGCTAATAGGAATAAAATGAGCCGACTTCTTAATCCTATCAACAATGATCCAAATTGTATCAGGGCCTCTTGAACTATTAGGTAACCCTGTCACAAAATCCATCAAAATGCTATCCCATTTCCATTTTGGAACTTAAACGGTTGCAACAACCTTGCAGACTTCTGATCTTCAACTTTCGACTTCTGACAAGTTAAACACGCTGTTGTACCCCAAAATTTGCCCTCGCGCTTTTCCACAAGAAATATCAGCTTCAAACATTTCCTGACTTCTCAAACTGGCTCAAGAATCGGACAAACGGACTTTTCTTGACAGTCAATCAAAATTAGGGTTTTTTCTGATTTTCAGAGCTCTGAATTGTTTCATACAGTGGGCTTAGGGTTTGGTTGATTTTTGGTTCAATTTTGATCAAGCAAGCGTGATTTGGCATTTAATCGGGAATTAGGGTTTTATGGGCATATTCTCAGAAGAATTTAAATTCCACAGCACTTTGCGGTTTATTTCAAGATTCGGATTAAAATTCGCGTTATCTTGGTTTAATCAGTAAAAGAGACAGTGGTTTGAATTCAGTACGTTTTGATTGGGCCAGTCATATGCAGGAGGCAGTGTTGGATTCACAGTGTTTATGCATTTGATCAGTCCATTTGGGTTAATTGCTGCTTTGCTTTGGGTGTTGAATAAGACAGGATTAATTGATCAATGTTGTTTTATTTAAGTTATTTATTATTCTGAAATTAAATGATTGAATTTATTTTTCAATTGTTTTAATTCTAAGAATTTTAAATAAATAAATAAACAATAAAGAAATTGGAATTAATTGGATAATTTAGATTTTTATTGAATAATTGAATTATTTGTACAAATTGTTGTTTATAATTTAAATTATGAACAATGATGTACATTAATTTAAAGATTACATAAAATTAAAACTATCCTATTTTCTAAATATTCTTCATTCTTCACTCCGCTCCGGTGCTCCATTTTTATCTGCAAAAAGAAACAAGAAAAGTCAGAAAGCATTAAATTGGAAAGGACAGATAAAAAGTGCTCATCATTAGGGGCCACTGACTGGGATCAGTTGCCCTCTCTGCAAATCACGGGATTTCTCCCGGTTCACAGAGAGGGAAGATTATTTTATTTCATGAATGCAAATGTCAAAAATGCATAAGTTACAAATTTCAAGCTACATAGAAATTCAAAGTCCAAAATCCAAACTGAAAAGTTCAATCTCAACTTTCTATCCAAAAGCAAAGGCACTAGCTGTCAAAATGCCAAAGGTATCAAAGAAATCAAAATAGTACAAGTGGCTATCAAAGCCTACAAGCTGTCAAAAAGGGACTTTTGCCAAGATATCAAGGAAAAGAGCAAAGCACAAAAGCTGGAGAAGAAAATGCAGAAAACGTATTATGCAAGCTGATCATCATTTCCCAGTATAAATATAGCCCCTTCAGAACATAGTACAATAATAACATATAAAATTCTTTATTGTACTATAAAGTGAGGAAAAAGAGAGATAAAGCAAGCCTAGTTCAGGTTCAGCAGGCGTAGACAGTAGAAGCAAGGCAGAAAAGATATACAAAAAAGAGGATAATTCAGCATTGTTCAAAAAATTACACAGCATAGCCAGTTACC